CCACCTGGCTAATCTCCCGCTCAAGTCTTTGAGACTCATAAGCCACTGCAGACTCGCATGATCGGTGATTACCGTGAACGGCATCATCTCCACGTACGGCCGGAATCGATGTATGGCCAGTTTGGCGGCTAGGCATTCCTTCTCGGTCACCGAATAGTTGATCTGGTGCTTGTTGAGTTTGGCCGAGAAGAATGCGATCGGCCTTTCCTGTTGTTCGTCGTCTAGCTGGAACAACACGGCTCCTACTCCGTAGTGAGATGCGTCGCATTGGATGAAGAATGGTCTTCGAAAATCCGCGTGAACTAACACTGGGGCTGTGGTGAGGGCTAACTTCAAGCTTTCTATGGCTTCTATGGCCTCGTCGCTCAACACAAATCTACCCGTTCGCTTCTTAAGGGCATCAGTCAACGGTACCGATATCTCGGCGAAGTTCTTTATGAATCGGCGATACCACCCCGCCGTACCTAAGAAGCTTCGTAGTTCTTTGACCGTCCTCGGATTCGGGATGTTCCGGACCGCTTCTACTCTTCCCGGATCCATGCGCAGCGTCCCGCCGCCTATGATGAAACCCAGGTAGTTTAGGTTGCGGAAGCAGAATTTTGACTTCGCCATACCTATGGTGAGGTTCGCGTTCCTCAGACACTCGGCCACCAATTCCAAGTATTTTAAGTGCGTTGGAAAATCTGCCGATATTATCAGCAAGTCGTCTAGGTATACGAATACGTTGGACCTCAAATTCGCCGGGATTACCTTGTCCATGAGCCTGCAAAGTTGTTGAGCGGCGTTGCAGAGCCCGAATGGCATGTGGCGGAACTGGTACAGCGGCCTCCCTGGTACAGTAAACGCCGTATACGCCCTGCTCTTCTCCTCCATCTCGATTTGCCAGAACGCGAACTTAAGGTCGACGCTAGAGATAAAATGAGTCTCGTCGATTCGCGATAGGATGCCCTCGATGCATGGAAGCGGGTAAGCGTCTTTTACCGTCACACTGTTTAATTTCCTGGCGTCTAAGCAAAACCTGTTCTTCCCAGGCCTCATCACCACCGTCGTCCGGTTGCTCCAGGGGCTGTCACTCTCCTCGATGATGCCCAACTTTAGCATTTTATCCACCTCGGCCCACACGATCTCCTGTTTGGCCGGGGACAGCGGATAATGTCTGTCTTTCACGGGTTCTGCTCCCTCGATCAGCTGAATTCGGTGCTGCAGCAGGTGAGTTTTCCCTAGGCCATCCTTCTCAAATTGGAGAAATCTGCGCTTCACGCTTTCCAACTGACTCCTCTGATCGTTGTCCAGGTCCCACATTTCCGGATCCGTCACGCAGTCGTCGTCGTCCCGGTAATAAGCCACCTCTGGGTTTGCTACCGTTACCTCAGATGCCTCTGGGGGTGTTTCGGACTTTCTGGCCGGACCGAGCAGCTCTGGTGCGATCTCGAAGGCTCGCCAGAAGTCGATTCCCAGGTATAGTTCCTGTCGCAGGTCCGGGCACATGTAAAATACGATATCTTCCTTTCTATTCCCGTATTTCACAGGCAGAACAACGCGACCTAAAATTGGGCGATTGGCACCCGCCGCTGTCCTCACCATCGATTCGTATGGCCGCGCTTCCCATCCCAGTTTCTCCACTAACTCCCGGCATCCTTGTCCCAACAGACTGACTGAGGCCCCCGTGTCCAGCAACCCTTTCATCTTGGCCCCAGCGACCTCCACTTCGGCGAATACTCGTGGGTCTATACTCTCCTCCCGTCTCACCGCTTCGACGACCTGGCGCCTGGTAATCCTGCGTCTGCGGAAGCGCGCACGTGCCTTCACCATCCTCCGGGTGGCTAGCGTCATCCCCTCCAGCTGTCGCTCACCAAAAATTCTATTTCGGGCCGACATGTATGCCCGAACACGTTCTTCGTATGGTAAGCCCCTAAGTGTTCCTCCTTTGCTTATACTATTATTATAATTAGCCTTATCCTGATCCTTATTCCAAATCTCCGTCTCCTTCCCAATGATTATTGGCTCTGGTAGGTGCCCCTCTCCTGCTTCCCCGCGGTCGCCGTCCCGGAACGCGTCTGTCCCGCCATCACCGCGCTCCCTCTGGGGTTTCCCGGACAGTTTTCACACTGCGAGCAGAAAGTGTCCGGCTTTCCACACCTATAGCAGAATATTTTCCGCTCCTTGGACAGGCAGTCTCTAAAGACGTGATCGAACTGTCTGCAGTTCCAGCATACAATTCGGGATGAGTTTCTGCTTCGCACGAATGCCTCCTCCAGTTCTCCCGGTGGCGTTTCTGTAAGATGCGGTGGTACTTCAACCTCGTGGACTACGGGCCTCGTTCCTTGTGGACAACGCGACGGCTGAAGGTACCCAGTCCGGCTTCTGCGACCCATGTGCCTCTCCACTTCTAGGCACTCTTGGCGCAGCTCATCCACGGTGAGTACGTCCATGGCATAGATATATTTCGCCAGACTTTCTTTTAAACCACGCTTTATAATCCTCACCAGCTCTCGGTCTCTCAGCGGCTTCTGGAATCGCGCGGCGAGTTGACGCATGTGGTGGATATAATCATCCACCCCTTCGCTGGCCTGTTGCTCTCGTTGTAGAAGCTCCTGCATTACATCGTGTTCCGTCTGGTAGCCCCGGAACCTGTCCAAGAGGGCATGCCGCAGTTGCACCCAGCTGTCGACCCTAGAATGCCGCACGTGCATCCAATACCACTCGCGGGCGCGGCCGGTCAGGAGCAGGTGGAAACCGCGCAGGACCTCCTTCCACGGGCACTGATACTGCCTCTGCAGGAACTCTAGGCGGAACACGAAGTCCTCGACCGAATTCATCGCGTCCTCGCCGTCAAACTTGACGTTCCACCGCTCGAGCTTCATGTACGCAGTTTCTCGCACGTTGGCGTACGCCTCCTCCGGTTGAAAATCATCCGCTCTCCGGTCCTCTACTCGGAAATGGCGGTTATTCGGGTTACGCCAGTTCCTCGACTGAGCATCTGCCACGTAAACTGGGCTGCTGGACGAATACTCCGCCCCTCGTGCGCCTTGTCTACGTGGCTTCGGTGGCACCGGTGGTGGAAATGCCTCGCGCTGGAACACTTCCCGTTCTTTCGGGATGGCGCCTGTTCGCGGTCCCGGCTCGACATGTCTGGGCGGCTTCGGCGCAGTGTTAGTCTCGGCGGTTTGGCTCCCTGGCGGCCTAAGCACATCAATGATGCCCTTCATCATTTCCATGAAGCCAGCTCGCATCTCCTCGCGGATGGACTCGCTGATGCCAGATGGCAGAGCATGCAGATATGTTTGGTGGGCCTGAGCGATCGCCGCGTTTGCCGCCGATTTGAGCACTGAGTCTTTCGGGGCTTTTGGGAACTCCAGGTTCTGTGGAGGTCTATCCTGTTGCGCCAATTCTTTCTCCAAGTCTACCAGGTGACCCTCTTCCGGGATCTGTCTCTCTGGAAATCCCCGGAAATTCATTGGCGTTCGCACCAGCCCTCCAGCTGGGCGCGGCGGTGGCAGAGCCGACGCCCCATCAGCGTCAGAAGCCCAATCAGACACCTGTTCCTCAGCCATACTTATCCCTTCTGAGAACAGTACCCCTCTCTTCTACAAGGCTTACAACCCTTATAAAAACTTTACTAATATTCCTTATAAATTAATAAATAAATAAACACCCACTAACAAATCTTACTAATAAAGAATAATAAATTAATACACATCGACCACAAAAACACTCACAAAATTAAATTTTTTTTTCTTTCTAATTAATTTCAAATACTTGGGGGAGAGAAGACAAATCCTAACACAGGCTAAATAATCTACGCATAATCTGGACAGTGGACAACACTTTAGCATTCGTCCCATGCTCAGTTCGTCAGTTTGACTGACGAACGGCATGCAAGGAACGCTACCTTGAAGGCTATTTGGTTTCTGTCGCACTTCTGTGCACCCTTAGGGTATGCTGTGTGACAGGTGCGGCGCAGGATCGGCTCTATATCGTCCTGGGTCACCTGCCTCCGAAGCTCATTTAACTACGGCCAGCACACACCAAACGTTAACACAGAGTGGGACAAAACAAATAGAAAACATTAAACAAACTCTAGTCAGACCTACCCTAATATCACATCTTGTCACAGGTTATTTTGTCATGGCGGCTACCACCAGGCTACGATGGACGGTCGCGAACGTTCACCACTTAGCAAACGTGACTTACCGTCATCAACCGCGACAAGAAAACTCCCCATATCAATGGACACCATGGCAAGATCCGTCTCCGTCGCTCTTCTGGCCATTTTTGGGATATGCTGTGTGACAGATGCGGCGCAGGCTCGGCTCTATATCGTCCTGGGTCACCTGTCTCCGAAGCTCGTATAACTACGGCCAGCATACATCCAACATTGACACAAAATGAGACAAAAACTACTAATTGAATAAATAACATCTGACTAAACTACCCTAATATCACATTTTTGTCGTTGCGGCTACCACCAGGCGAACGATGGATAGTCGCAAATGTTTCGCCAACATGCGAACGGCCATCAACCACTACAAAAAAAAAACCCCTCATGCTTATGGATGGATATTCAGATAACCTCTACTTCCGTCGTGCTTCTCGGATTCCACTACACGCTGCGCGATTATGAGCTACCTACTCGTGCCACATAAGACTTCAGCGGTGTGGGTCCTGAAGCCAAGGGAGTCCTTTCCTCTGTACCTTCATTTTTATCGTATTTATTTTTCTTTGATTACACACCGACTTCAAAGAAGCCGAGTGCTTCTTCAAATTGGGCGCCATATTGTTACGGAACTGCTTGTTTCTCAGTGGGCCGCGCCGGCTGGCTCATCGGATTCTCTGGGTGTGGTCCCATCCCTGGCCCGCAGTCCGCACAATCGATAACAACAAAGCTACACGTCTGTAGCAAAACAGACTCACACAACACTACTCAAAATGAACCGCATAATCGATAACAAATATTCGGAACTACTAACTCATGAACAAAATACACAGCTGTAACAACTATGAAAATGTAAACAACAAAGGTAAGACACTCAATATAAATTAACAAAAAAACACTATTTATCCACCTTACTCTTCCAGATCGGGCCCCGGTTCCGGACCCAGCGTACCCGCCCTACCATGAGACGATCACCTCCACTCGTCTCCCTCATTTTGGCCACTAAATGGCCTATATTAGCCCGTGTCGGCCATAATGCCTACTCTCCCCAACAATATTATTTTAGCCGGACATGATTTCTTTCAATAGGTGCGTATAATTGGTTGCGTTTTCTTAAAATGTATAACAATCATAATCATTGCTTATGGCATTTATCTTGCAGCTGTTTAGGATCTCATGCAAGCGGATAATTCATTAACTTCACAGGTGCGTATTACTGTTGCATATATTTATACTAATTGACAAAGCGCATTAATTCCTAAATTTTTCTCTTATCTTATAGAATTAATTTTTTTTTATTTTTTTACAACACTGAATGGAACAGGCGACGAAGTACTACAAGGATATTGCTAGTCGCCGCAAAAGAAACGCGCACGGAGGCACTTTAGAGGCAATCGTTGCGCCGATTTAGGAACAATGGCCCACACAATTACTTAAAACTGGGTATGTCACGTATTATGTATTGTATGTATTAAATCGCTTAATTCTACCTTACCCTACCTAAAGAGCTCTCTGAGGGTGGTAAGGGGCGATATAAATGCGTAAATTCAAATTGGGTAAGTCTGTGAGCATAGTTCGCGCAAGTGTTAATTTTAGATTTTTATATTTTACAGGCGCAGATGCATCACCTTTGGAGTTCCCCTCACCGTTCGCACTCTAGAGTGAAGCTCGGCGTAAGTGCCTACGTATGTATAAATATATTTTATAAATACAAATTAACTAAATTTAACGATAAAAAAAAATCTACTCCTTTTCAGGGAGTGCAATTAGGAGTCTTCTTCTGACTCTGCCAGGGACTGCGGGCCAGGGATGGGACCACACCCAGAGAATCCGATGAGCCAGCCGGCGCGGCCCACTGAGAAACAAGCAGTTCCGTAACAAATGCATCCTTTAAATGCATAGATTAGGGCATTTGGAGGAGTCTTGTAAGGTTCACTCTCAAGTGTTATCGATAAAAAACGATAATTTGTATCAAAGCTTGAATTACACTCTATCAATATATGAGACATACGTGACTTTTATTTGCTGCCAAATAAATCGAGCGTTTACTGTAGTTTCGCATTTAAAACGAATTGGTTAGCCGACTTATTGAAAACCTCATTACCCTAGCTTATCAGCAATTAAAATGTTTAACAGCTTCGGGAATTCAACAATTCTGCGGATTTATGCCACATGCAACGTGTTATTCAGGCAACGGATTCTGAAATATTCATGCAGCGTTTAGCTGTCCCACTTCAAATGTGGAGCACCATGGAGAGTGTGCCGGATCAATCAGTCAGCAAGCATAAATGGTAGATGCTGCGGGTGTGTGAAAACTGCTAGAGCGTGGGGGCATGGCATGACTGTCGACATAAGTGTATGACTTGCTGTTAGTATTGCTGTCACTCGACTCGTTGCCGCTGTCACATTGCACTTGAGGCTAATGCAGTCTGTGTTGCAGTCGTCATGACTATGTCCAATGTGCAACAACGGAGGCACTACAGAGCCAACAACAATGCCCATTTGTCCAGTCTGGAGCTGGAGCTCATGTCGTTTTCTCTTTGGTATCGAATAAATTTTGAATTAATTGCGTTTATCTCTTGTCGAAATTTTCGATAGAGCTGCTGCCACATGTCCTGGCTCGTAGCAGAGGAGCTGCAACCACAGAATTTATATCGCAGCTGGGGCTAAACTTTGACTAAGCCCAGCCTGTGGCAGTTATTAGCTCATGCTGATGCTGATGCTGATGCTGATGTTGTTCTTGTTGCTGCTTCTGTTTTTGACTTTTCGTTTGCAATTGCATATTTGGTGCGCCTGCCTGCTTCGTCCTGTGTCCGCTTGCCATTTGTTTGTCCGAGGCAATCGTAATCTATGTAGTTGTAGTCATGTCGCCGCTGCGGTGAAGTTCAGCTTTGTGTTTACCGGCTCGCAGTCGGCTATAATTAATTGACGTGAATTGTTTGCGTTTGGCCCAAAAGCCGCACAGCTCGCCCGCGCTATACTCGTACGTATACGTAAAATCCGCATGCTGCTGCTGACGCTGCCCGCTAAGCCGTAACTTAATTAAAGCGCTGAAAATGTCGAACTCAAATGCAACTTCATTTACAGCTTAATTGCTGGCTCATTTTATGTTTCTTTTTTGACGATTTTTTTTTCGTTTCTGTTTTCGATTTTTATTTGATTATTTTTGTAATCACAAAAGCGCTTGTCCAATTTAATCGCATCAAGTCAGCTGAGCCACTGGAGCGCAAATTCTTTTATCACAGGCGTATCTTTACGCAGTTTTTTAAAATCATTTTATTTCCTTTTTGCATTTCTGTGATTAATGACCTGTAAAAGTGAAAGGTGTGCAAAAGTTGTGCAGCAAGAAAAGCGCAGCAATTCTCACACTCAACAGCTTCTTAATTGAGTGCTATTGAGTGAATCAGCAGAGTGCTGCACTTTTGCATACGTAATTTTCACAAAAATCGCATTAAATGGCTTATAGACATATCAAGAATTAGCTTAAGGCAAATGTCAAACACATATTTTGGGCATAATTTATGAGTAATACTTCAATATAAATATGAGTTATACATAAATATTGTCTCTTTAGATTTTCTAACAAGTTTGTAGTGTAAAGCTTTTAAAATAATATTTCGAGTAAATATTTTTAAATTAGATTGTCAACAAGTTAAGCTCGAAAACACTTTCGCTCAGTCCCTGCCACACATGACGTATGCGTTATATTTGTGTCACACTCGAGGACTTTGAAAAACTGGCTAAAACAGGACAATACCTACACACTTACACTCACACACACACTCGAGCTCATTTAAAACTTTGGACATGCTGTGGTCAAGCATATGACAAGCTCAACGCCAGCTGTGCCCCACTAGGCCCCGCCCTCTTCTAACATGCCCTTGGGCCCTATCAGCCGGCTGATTATCATTCATTTGTTGCCACATAATGGGCCACTTCGGCTGTGGCCATGGCAAACGCTTTAGGGTCTCGATAATTATCAACTGCGGGCCACAAAAAATACAAAACAAAAGCGAAAAAGTTTTTTATACGACAGCATTGTGCGATTGTTTTAACTGTTGTTAAATGCCACAAAAAACTGTACAATTGTCTGTTATATATTGTGTATGAGTGTGAGTGTGTGCATTTGAGTGTTTGTTAATAATTGCATGTGTCTTGTGTGCAGCCAAATGCAGGCATTGTTTTACAAGCCAACAGCAGCCGAACCAGAACCAGTTCCAGGAGGCCAGCGCTGCTGCCAGTGACAGCAACAGCGACGGCGACGGTGACGGCGACTGCGACGGCGACGTTGACTGCGATGCCTCGTAAGTAATTCCGCGCATATGTTACGCCACAGCGGCTGCATACTATGCGCCAACAACAGCAACAACAGTCGCAATAACAGCAATAGCAACAATAACACCAATTGCAATCGTACAGAGCAGGCGAACGACAGAGAGAGAGAGAGAGAGAGAGAGAGAGAGAGAGAGAGAGAGAGAGAGAGAGAGAGAGAGAGAGAGAGAGAGAGAGAGAAAGAGAGAGAGTTTGGCTTGAGCTATGTTATATACTAGCAGACAGCAGAATGTGGGCTTCAGTGTCAACAACAGCAGCAGCAGCGGAAGCTAAAGCTCGGCTGTGCGGCATATTCATGACTGCTGCACACGACAAATTGAATTTTATGCAAACTCTGCGCCCCGCCCCTGCCCGATCCACTCTAATGCATTGTTCTCAAATCATCATCGCGCTCGCTTGCTCCACTCACTCAATCACTGCGTGTGGCTCGCGCCCTCTCACTCTCACTCTCGCTTTGGCTTGCGCGGCGACATCCATGGGCTGCGTGTATGCTGCAGAATAATTTTGTCTTTTGTTTTCTTTTAAGCTGCCTTTTTGTGTGCGTGTGTGCATTGGAATATTATGCTTATCCTTGTGCTTTGCACTTGCCAGTCGTCCTGCGACGCACGTTTTCAATGCTGCTTTTTCATTGTTGTTGCCAGCGTGTGTCCTAGTTTTGCTCAATGCGCCTGCATTTGCCTGCTGTGTAATTGTTGTTGTGGTTGTTGGTTTTGCCTTTGCCTTTACCGTGTTGTTTTTTGTTTCTTAGGGTTACTAGGGAGCTCCATTATTTCACAACTCTATCGGCTTTGAGGCTCCATTGTGTGTGCCACCCAATTTGTTAGCTTGACGTTAATGAGAAATAATGTTATCGCACTGTTATGCGTCTGTAAGTGCGTGTGTGTGTTTGTTCTTCAGAATTCGTTTGTGTAAATTGCCAAGCACATTCATGAGAAGGTTAATTGTCTTTATGATTATGACAGGGTCACTTGAATTGGGCAGCGCTTAAGGATTTTACTGTATACGCTTGAGCCATTAAAATCCTAATTAGCCATTTTGCTGGAATGCTAAATACGATGGTATAAATAGATATTTACAACAGAAACACTTAAACACAACAATTGCATTTTGTACGCGCGGCTTAACTAAGCCATTAACATGAAAAAGAGCTGTCACAGTAAACAGTTGCCTAACAGCGCAGCATCTCTTACTAGCAAGTTAACATTGACTGAGTTAATCACGTTATGTTCGCAAACTCTCTTGTTTGCTCTCTTGGCTTACAGCTGTTAAGTAACATAAGCCGAACAGCATCATCCACGTTTCGTTGGCATCGTTTAGTCTACTTTTAGCCGGTGTCGCGCGCGCATCGTTTGAGAGGCGCAGGTGCGAAACATCAAATTCGTTGAACTTAACAAGTGAATATATAATGTGAATACAGTGAATAAATATGAATGAGTGTAATTAATTTAAAAATGATATGACACTAAACAATATAAATGAGCATTCAATGTGGTGTATGGTGAATTTGTAAATAAACTTAATACAATCTCACATCTTAAAACTAAAATTCATATTTTGAGAAATATAATATTCAAAAAAATATTAAAAAAGACAATTTAAAAAAAAAAAATTAATTAATATAAATACGAACTAAAAAACAATTTATTATATATATATATATATATATATATATATATATATAAGCAAACAAGCTGAAAATATAATTTGAATTTCCATATATTCGTATATTTTCGAGCTCTTTTATTTTATTTAATTTGCTCTTTTTGACAGTATAAAAATATTTTAAATTTGCGCTCATCCTGTTTTTATGTTGTCTGATTTTCTTGGAATTCACACACAGCTTCCCAAGCAAATCATGTATCAAGAGAATTTTTTGAAAGGTTGAAAGGCGTTTATAAAACATTAATAATTGAATACTAAGCAAGAAATTTATTCCGAATTATGTTGGCCTCTTTTCGCTTAATTCTATTATTTATTATATGATTTGCTTAACAAATACAAATACACATGAAAATCACACACAGCTCAAGTCAATATTTAATATCAACAATGTTTTTGTGAAAATAAGGCTAAAATAATAAATATATATATAATATATGTATATATATTTATTTATATAAATGTATAACTCTAATGGGCGCAACAATAAATTAAATTACAAGTCAGAAAAATTTCTGTTTCCGGCTTGGCGGCTAAAAAATTTTATCTTCCGCTCTCATCTGTTTGCTTTGCCAGCAGCAGCAGCAACAACAGCAAGAATCAGAGGAAAAGCTAAGCACAGCAAACAGAAGTCAGGAGTTGAAGGCCTATAGAGGAGAGCGTTGAGAGCAACGGGAACTTGTGTTAAATCATTTACACTTCCGCTTGTTGTTTTGTTTGTGCAATCAATTTAGTATTATTTACGTTATCAGCAACAACAACAACAACAACAACAACAACAACAACAGCGGCAGCGCTTTAATGCATGGAATTCAGTCGGCTAGAACATAAAATTTGGTAACCGGTTGCCATTACTTATGAATGGCTGGCATTTCTCAAGGCCTCCTCGCATTTGTATGCTGTGGCAAAAACAAACGGCATTTAAATCATTATTTGCCGCACAACCTGAAAACAAAAGGGTCAAGCGCAAACCTCGCACTCGAACCCGACTCCTGGCAACACGCCTAAGTCTAAGCCCAAGCAGAAGGCAGGCAAATCCTTTCAATTCGTAAGCGCGTGTCGTGCATTTCCAAGTGCTGTCTGTGCCTGTCTCTGCCCAAGTGTGTGTGGGTGTGTGTGGGGGGGCGTGTTTGCCTGGCCATATGCACACCTTTTACGCCCGACTAAACACCCGCATAAATAAATTTCGTTAATGCCAAATAGTCTCAAGCGTAAAAGAAAGATGAGGTAACAGCAACAGAAGTCGGCCACATGGAATTCCTCACACACACACTCACACTGCTACATGTGTGCCTGAGAGCGATTTCGCCAGCCATTCGCAATATTCTTATTTGTATAGTATACTTCTCAGCGTAGTTCTGAAACAGCCGCATCATACTGCCAGAACATTTAAAAATATTAGCATTTCTCTATAAAAGCAAACTAGTCTAAGTATTTAAAGTATTTACCTGCTGCTTTTCAGCTGCTAGCTACAGTACTTAACGCCTAACAAGGGCGCAGCTATCACAATTACTCAATGAGCTTTGTAGCATACTTTTGAGCGCGGCCATGAATATGTCAATCTTGACTATATATTATTGGCATTAACTTTCGTATGTGGTGACTAGGTACGCTTATAATTACAGTACTGCACGCCTAAGTAAAACACAGCAGACAAAATTTCATATATTTCTTGGCGATTTTTAACATTTTTGTCATACTCAAAAACTTTGGCTAGACTCAAAAACTTTGGCTAGACTTAAGATCTCTGTAAATAGTTTTCTTGAAGCGCGTCGTCACACACTTTCAAGTACTTAACAGTTTGAAGAAGAGCAATTTTTGACAAAATGTAAAACACAAGACTTATAAACTCATGGCAAATACTTAAAAATTGTGTTAGGTATTTTAACAGCTGCTGACTTGCTGGTAACTAAAGTATGTACTGCCTAAGACGAACTAAAATGGCAGTAGCATACCTTGCAACGCACGCGATTACATTTTAGAAAATGGAAAGAAATAATAATTTGCAATAAGAGAGAAGCTTGGGCTTACTGTAAGAGAGTTCCCAATAGAGCCTTACTTTAATTACGGTATTAAATGCCTAACAAGGCCAACATTTGCATAGCTTATAGCTTAAGGAAAGCCAGTAAAATGCTCAGCTTAAACTTGAGCTAAAAAGGCGTTTCGATTTGCTGGAACGCCCTGCTAAACTTACATGCTGCTGCTGGCCACATAACTTAACCTAAAACACACACAAACATTTCAAAAGCGGATTTTGCACAAGACCTTGCCATAAAATAGAAAAAAGGGCGAGCGGGCGGCAATGTGAGAATATTTAAAACTTGCTACGTGTTGTTGTTGTTGTAGCTGTGGCATCTGGACGAGAGTGCAATTGTGAAATATGCTAAGCTCGCAATTGTGTGCGTAAAGAACAAGGCAAATCAACCAATTTGAGGGGCACCCCGCATTAGCCCAACCACTGAACAGACCTGACTTGTGTCTTAATGCAAACTAAACATAATAAGCAAAAGCGGCAGCAGCAGCAACAGCAATATCAATATCAGCCAGAAGAGCGTAGAAAACATTTCGCATCGCCCGCAGCATCTGCATGCGGTTGAGCAGCTCGTGTGGCACGCTCCACTCCTGCCGCATTTGCCACACGGCGCATGCTGTGGTGACCCAGTTAAGCGGATTTGCTGGCGGACAGCATACCAGTAGAGGACGCGGATTATTAATTTGCCCGGCATTTTATTAAGAGGCCCCGGAAACATGCGCTCCCAGCACCCAGCAACGATCTTTGCCAGCCTTTGCCTCTGCTTCCTGCTATACCTCGTCCTGCAGCCACAGCTGCTCCACTGTGCCACAGCGGGTAAGTTTGCATAATATCAAATTTGATTTTCATTTTATTTAATTTAATTTTTGGTGCTATATTTGCCGCATATCAAACGCTGCTTACTTTTATATGCCCTCTGTAGCTCTTTGTGTACTTTGCAATAATAATAATTTGATAGGCGGCGTTGGCTGGCGGGGTAGCCTAGGGTAGGAGAAATCTGCGGTTGGGGTTACTGATTTTGAGGCACTTTTCTGCGTTGATTCAACTTTTTACATATTTGAACAGATATGAATTTTAAGTTGTAGAATTGCACTGCTATTTTAAACTTTTTTGCTGGTTTACTTGATGAATTGGCTTAGGAATATATTATTTAGTAATTGGCAGTTGGATAAATAGATTTGGAAAATGCGAAGCGAAAAATGTGTAGAAAGTTTCTATTTGTCTAAACAAATTATATTAGATGCATGTATTAAGCATAAGTGTTAAAAACTGGCAGACTGTGGCAAGCGAGACTAATGAAAGAATACTTAAAGATATACATACATATACCTAATTTAATAAATATAATATTATTTAAACCTTATCATCCTCTCACAAATGGTTATATATACAAATTTAATAAAATTGTTCAAAACAAATCAAAAGCCGTTTATTAAATAAAATAAACAAAAAATCTTTCTGTATAAAATAAATAGATTTCATTCATATTCATATTTGATCTGAAATCAAGAAGCTTACTTGACTTTAATTATGTTCAATTCCAAAGTTTTATGGCTTCCATGCATTAAATAAAATATTGTGTGAAACTTAATAACCCTATTTTTTGCCAGAGTGCAAAGTAGCCTCAAAATACCAAGGTATATGGTAAAATTAAAATAAATAAAAAGTGGTATTTTCACGTTTTTCCTAGACTTTAACTACTTTTTATTAAGTGCCATATAGTAATATTCCAACAAGTATTTGTTAAAGAACTTCCTTTTGTTTTACAGTTCAAATATGCTTTGTTTAACTTATTCTTTGGTTAATTAACCGACTTTACATTTAGCAGTCAAAAGTTTCACTCGAAAACACACAACAAAGTAGTCCTTGAAATGCACCAGAAAAAACTACTCCTGAATAGTAGTTACAATTTTAAAAGGCAAAAGGAAAAACCCAAAAAAAAAAGGAAGAAAAACAAATAAAAATGAGACTCAACTCAATGAGCCAAATGCGATCAAATGCATGCACTTCTTCACACAAAAAACAAAATAGAAAATGTTGAAAAACAGCGGCAGTATGATTCAAATTTGTGAGTGTCCAAAGGGCGACGTGTGGGCTTGACCGGGTGCCTTTCACGGAAATTGTGTTAAAAGCTGGAAAATATTATTTGTAACCGACGCCAAACGTGGCTTATTTTTCTTTTAGCCAAGCCCTTAAATGAACTGTATTGTCTGGGAAATACATCACCCATATATATATTTGTTATTGCTTTTGCTTAACTTAATTTTTGATCAATTTTAATCCGAAGCTGATGAAAAATTCTCTGTGATTGCGTTAGTTGAGTATTTCGCATTAATTCTTTTATATACACATATGCATCTGCCATATGTATTCGGATGAGCTCTGGCAGAGCATTCACTGGTCTGTATGCCAGATGAAATATACAATTGCCAGTTGCTTCTTGTTGATTTTTGCGATTGTTGGCTATGAAAGTGGTGGACGCAGCGCTTGAGAAGCCACAATTCCGACTACAAATGGACCAGCCGCCAGTTACAAGACCGACAACAACGAAAATACTCGGGGAACCTCGATACATATATATGTATCTATATATATATATATATATATATATGGAGGGTATAGGAAGGGAAAATTGCGACCAAGTCGAACAATGAAAACAACAACAAAACCGTGCTGCATAAAGTGGCTGCTGCTGCTGTTGCTCGTCGCTCGAGATGAAAACTTTTACTTTTGTTTAATCAAATTCTGCAGGAAGTCGAGCACCATTGAATGCTTGTAACAAAACTGGCTCTGTAGCACTGCCGCCCGCCCGCCCCTCCGGCGGCCTGAGGGCTGCCAGGCATTAGGCGAGTAACTAACTCATTCAGTTGCCCACGGCCGCAGGCATTTGACCGCCATTCTTCATTGTTGTTTTGTTTTTGGCATTTTGGCTTTTTGGCTGCTGCCACAGTCACAGCCCCAGTTCCGACTACGCGCCCCCTCTACTGCTGGCTTGTCAGACAAGTGCCCGGCTCCGGCTCCCTCGAGATTCCAGTGGTTAGCCGCTCAACTGGCACGCCTGACTTAAACGCTTAGGCACAATTATTACACAAATTACGGCCCGGGGTGGAAGCGAGCTGTGGGCTGCGCGCAGTGCCCATCATCATTATTAGCGCCTTCTCGACAGCTATTTGATGAGCGGAGTGTCCGGCTCTGTGGTGTTTCAGTTGAGATTACATGACCATGACCATATTCCGAGCGAGGTCCAATTTTCATCAACAGCTCAACAGATCCAACTGATCCAGTCGAATCGAATCGACTCAACAACATGCCCATCATAATTAGGAAAAGTGTCGATTTGTTGTTGGTACGAAACGGGATGGGTGCACACAAACATCTAAGGGATTACACACAAAGAAAATCCTGCATTCTTAAATGCACTCAAGTGTAAATTGTGTTCCAAAAGTTAAGCACAAGAGTTAACGAAGGGTTCAAGCAATTTAGTTTAGTTAAAGCCATAAATGCTTTACCGCAAAAGCTTTAACTATTTGAAAATATAATTTATTATTTTTTTTGTTATTTTTTGTTTTGTTTTGTTTGTTTATCAACTTAAATTAAATTTATATGAATATTTGCAAACTACTTATTCTACTAGTAAGTCTAATATAAAAATTTACAAGGATGGATGATATAAATCGATTTGGTGAGACCTTCGCAATCTCCTTCGCTTTCGGACTCATCCATTCCTACGTCTATTAAGAAGACGCCTAGCCAGACGATTAGGATGGTTTCTTAGTCGCGATATGTCATTACATATCCTGCCTGTATATTTATAACGTCCCCGACATTGGGGCACCAGACAGATATCGGAGCGTTTTTGCTTGAAACCCCCTGATTTGCGTTAGACGGGACTTTGCAGCAATACCGTATACCTGTATTCATTAACGCCAGGCGGGAGCTATGCCGGTTTTATAGATGGTTTCTTTATTTTTTAAAGATAGCGCACTGTTTGGAAGCCATCTTAGTTTTCTCAATCTGTTATTCAGGGTAACTGAAACACTTGTGATGTGTTTGCTAAAATTCAAGCGCCTGTCTAAGTGCACTGCCATTTGCGTGCGTCGCCAATTAACCGCGCAAGAATACTCTCGGACACATATCCCTCCGTAGCGCATAGGTCACATTGGCACATTTATTTAAATTAATGCCAATACTTTAAATTTGTGAAGATATTGCCGCAGGACGTCAGTAGCTTTGTAAAGACATTTTTTTCTTGATAAGATGGCTCTGTGTTCTGCAAAAGTGGCGATAGTAAGGTCGTGTAGATCCGCGACTTCAATTGTACAGCCAGTGGGAATGTCATAGGTAAAGAGGGTATAGAGCGTAGGCCCCAACACACTCCCTTAAGGAATGCCAAATAAAGCTGCGGTGGCAGCAAGGGCTTGATTTTGCAGAGTAGTCCAGCATGCCAGGCCCTGTCGAAGGCTTGTTTTATGTTTAAGTTCGAAAGCCTCGGAGAAAAAATTCCGATGTGCCATGAGATTTTCGGAACCCGAACTGAAAGGGGGAATTTTTTATTTAATTCTATCCATAGACAGCAGTCCCGTAAGCAGTATAAATCAAGTAAACAACCCAACTTGTATTGCCAACCAATTCAAGCCGCAGTTTAAATTCAATTGACTTTTTGAGAATACACAAATATTCCATGGTACAATAATATACTGTAGAATATTTCAATAAAGATCGGTTAAGAAAACACCAAACTTATATGTAACTGCGCAATTGGATGGGGCAGCTAAAGAATACTTCAAGAATTTCTGTATACATGTACACACACATTTATACGCGTCTGCTTCGCATTCTATCGCATTCTAGCAGCATGGTAATTGCGACCTTTAATTTTGTAATTTTAGTTCGTTTTTTTGTCAAAACGTTGTCTGTTGATTAGAGACATAGCAAGTAATTCGGTCAGTTGCGAGTTCAAACCCTGCCAAGGGAACTTTTTTTTTTTATACCCCGAACCCATTAAAAATGGGTAAAGGGGATATTGTATTTGTGCAAAATCCTAATGTATATAACAGGCAGAAGGAAGCATCTCCGACCCCATAAAGTATATATATTCTTGATCAGCATCAATAGCCGAGTCGATCTAGCCATGTCTGTCTGTCCGTCCGTCCGTCCGTCCGTCCGTCCGTCCGTCCGTCCGTCCGTATGTATGAACGCAAGGATCTCAGAACCTATAAGAGCTAGAGACTTGAAATTTTAGATGTAGATGCCTCAGCTCCCGCGCAGATCGAGTTTGTTTCCGATAATCGATAACTTCCTCAGTTTCCAAGCAATCGATAAGAAACGATATCGACATCCTGTTTTTTTTAGCAAATTGGGCAAATAATAAGAGCTAGAGCCACCTAACATGTTATGTTGCTTCTAGAATATTATATATATTGCAGGAATCTTTCATTTCATACCTATCGCCACCTCCCCGCTACCACCCTAGAACTATAAATCAAGTTAATAACCCAACTTTTATTGCCAACCAATTTAAACCACAATTTAAATGCAATTAATTTTTTCAGAATACACAAATATTCTATGGTACAATAAGATATACTGTAGAAAATTTCATAAAGATCGGTTAAGAAAAACCAAAATTATATGCAACTGCGCAATTGAATGGGGCAGCAGCTTTAAGAATTTCTGTATACATGTACACACACACATTCATGCGCGTCTGCTTCGCATTCTAATAGCATGGTAATTGCATCTTTTTTTTGTAATGTTGTTTTAGTTCCTTTTTTCATCATAAGTAATTAATTGTTGGTGTGGCTGCTGAGTAGAGG